TAAACCCTAAACCCTAAACCCTAAACCCTAAACCCTAAACCCTAAACCCTAAACCCTAAACCCTAAACCCTATACCCTAAACCCTAAACCCTGAACCCTAAGCCCTGAAACCCTAAACCCTGAAACCCTAAACCCTAAACCCTGAAACCCTAAACCCTGAAACCCTAAACCCTAAACCCTAAACCCTAAACCAGCATCCCTATCTCGTGCTTTTCGTATACGAGGGGGAAGGTGGCTGAGAGCCTCAGACACAAGAGCGCTGAAGCGACGTATTCGGCCCTAAACCCTGTAGTTCCGGGCAGTCTGAGATTGTTCAGTTTAGGGTTTAGGGTTTAGGATTTAGGATTTAGGATTTAGGATTTAGGGTTTAGGATTTAGGGTTTCGGGTCGCAGGAATGGTGGGTCAGAGTTCCAGTTTGGGGTAGTTTGCCCCAGGCAGCCGATCCGAATCGGTGCCCATCCGGACAACAAGATTGTGCTCCAGGCCGACCCTCCCAACTATATTCTTTTTGGGAATTATTTTCTTTATTTTTGTTAAAATTAAACCCAAGAGGATAGTAGAAATCTTATGTTAATTAAGGTTCTAGCGGGAGTATGGCCAAGAGACCCGTAAACCCTGAACCCCGCAACTCTGCACCAAACCCCAAGCCCAAAACCCTAAGCCCTAAACCCTAAATCCCAAACCCCAAACCCTAAACCCTAAACCCCCCTAAACCCTAATCCCTAAACCCTAATCCCTAAACCCTAAACCCCAGGGGTTGACTTGTCTTCTTCAGGGTTTGAGGCCGGCCTCAAAAATTGGGGTTTAGGGTTTAGGGTTTGGGGTTTAGGGCTTAGGGTTTAGGGTTTGGAGTTTAGGGTTTAGGGTTTAAGTTAAGGTTTAGGGTTTAGGGTTGGGGCGTAGGGTTGAGGCTTTAGGGCTTAGGCATCTGGCAAGTTCCCTGTGTGGGGATCCTGTTTATGGACACCTGTGAAAGTGTGCGGGGGGCCTTGTGTGAAGACTACACGAAAGGGGGACCTTTACCCAGAGAACTGGCCCTAAGCCTAAACGCAAAACCCGAAGCCCTAAACCCTAAACCCTAGGCCCTAAACCCTAAACCCTAAACCCTAAACCCTAAACCCTAAACCCTAAACCCTAAACCCTAAACCCTAAACCCTAAACCCAAAACCCTAAACCCTAAACCCTAACCCCTAAACCTAAACCCTAAACCCTAAACCCTAAACCCTAAACCCTAAACCCTAAACCCTAAACCCTAAACCCTAAACCCTAAACCCTAAACCCTAGACCCTAGAACCTAGACCCTAAACCCTAAACCCTAAACCCTAAACTTCTCATGCAGTCGATATTGAAGCATGTGGTCGAGCGCGTCGTTGCGTAAATCATTCGCACATGTCTGCTGAAAGGTCCATTTTTTCCTACCAGCTTTGATCCCTACTCTTTGTACCTTCTGAAAAGGGTTTAGGGTTTAGGGTCTTAAGGGTAGTTCAGAGGCTTTTTCGTATCTTTGTACAAGCTTGATCCGGGGAAGATGGTGACATGCCCCAAACCCTCAGCAGCAAGATGCCAGCGGAACTTTTGTAAACCCTAAGCCCTAAGCCCTAACCCTAAACCCCAAGCCCTAAACCCTAAACCCTAAACCCTAAGCCCTAACCCTAAACCCTAAACCCTAAACCCTAAACCCTAAACCCTAAACCCTCAACCCTAAACCCTAAACCCTAAGCCCTAAACCCTAAACCCTAAACCCTAAACCTCAAGCCCTATACCCTAAACCTTAAGCCCTTGGGCTGATCTAAGGGTCCTGGGAGATGGCAGCCCTGGGTTGATAAGGGAAGTGCAGACCTTCTGTTTAAAGGTTCTGAAGTATGGGCCTTTGGGCTTAAAAGGTACTTGGGGGTTTCGGGTTTAGGGTTTAGGGTTTAGGGCTAGGGTTTAGGGTTTAGGGTTCATGGGTACGTCTACCCCCAATTATACGTCTATTTATAACCTACTTAGACTGAGAGGACTTAGGAGGCTTATAAGAGCAGTTATAATTGGGGTTATAAGTACCCTGAACCTCCAAGTATGTAAAGGGTATGCAAGGGCTATATATAGGGGCATATATATATCTATATATATATATATGGTCATATATATATATATATATATATAGAATCGGGAGTATATAAGGGTTCCCCAATTAAGGAACCCTATGAAGGGACCCATGCAACTACCCAGAGTATGTTGAAAAACTGCCTCGTGGTCACTCGACGATTGGCCCTTTGAAGGTTTAACCCTAAACCCTAAACCCTAAACCCTAAACCCTAAACCCTAAACCCTAAACCCTAAACCCTAAACCCTAAACCCTAAACCCTAAACCCTAAACCCTAAACCCTAAACCATGGGTATAGGGTTAAGCGCTTTTGGGATGCCTTTGAAAGAGCTGGCCACATAAGTAACCCCGCACAACAACAAGTGAACAGAAAACTCTCACAAACCTTCTGTAGGGTAGGATGCCCCCAAACCCCAAACCCCAAACCCCTAAACCCTAACCCCTTAACCCGAAACCCTAAACCCTAAACCCTAAACCCTAAACCCTAAACCCTCAACCCAAAGCCCTAAGCCACCAGGGCTTGGGTGTTCCGGACTACCTCTGCGAGATCGAGAATCTCGAGGACCAAGGCGTCGTGGTTCCCTGGCTCAGCAGCGTACGAAAGCTATCCCTAAACCCTAAACCCTAAACCCTACACCCTAAACCCTAAACCCTAAACCCTAAATCCTAAATCCTAAACCCTAAACCCCAAACCCTAGACCCTAAACCCTAAACCCCAAACCCTAGACCCTAAACCCTAAACCCTGAACTAAGTAGGGTTTCTGCTTTGTAGGGGGGTTCTTCTTAGGGTATCTGGGGGCTATTAAGGTATAAGGGTAACAGAACAGGAGGCCACCGGCTTTTATCAGCTCTGGCTCAGGTTTAGGGTTTAGGGTTTAGGGTTGTTTAGGGTTTAGGGTCTAGGGTTTGCAGCTGCAGGGTAGTAGGTCACAACCTTCCAAAACTTAACTTGTTCATAAGAGGAAATGGGAAATAGGTACCTCATGTCCCGTATCTATCCCTTTAGAAAGACCCAGGCACTAAACCCTAAACCCTAAACCCTAAACCCTAAACCCTAAACCCTAAACCCTAAACCCTAAACCCTAAACCCTAAACCCTAAACCCTAAACCCTAAACCCTAAACCCTAAACCCTAAACCCTAACACTAAACCCTAAACCCTAAACCCTAAACCCTAAACCCTAAACCCTAAACCCTAAACCCTAAACCCTAAACCCTAAACCCTAAACCCTAAACCCTAAACCCTAAACCCTAAACCCTAAACCCTAAACCCAGGCAAGGCACCTGATATCCCCTATAAGCCCCTTTACCGGGCAGGCCCCAGGCGACCCTGTCGGGTTTCCTTTAACCCTTAAACCCCTAAACCCTTAAACCCCTAAACCCCTAAACCCCTAAACCCTTAAACCCCTAAACCCCTAAACCCTAAACCCTGAAACCCTGAAACCCTGAAACCCTGAAACCCTGAAACCCTTAAACCCCCAAACCCCCTCGACCCTCAACCCTTCAGCTTGCGGGCCGACCCTCAGACTCCCAAGCCCGGCCCCCCAAAGCTTTAGAATTCAGGGTTTTGAGGGTTTTGAGGGTTTTGAGGGTCTTGAGGGTTTTGAGGGTTTTGAGGGTTTTGAGGGTTTTGAGGGTTTTTTGGAGGGTTTTTTGGGGGGTTTTTAGGGTTTTTAGGGTTTTTAGCGTTTTTGGGGTTTTCAGGGTTTTTAGGGTTTTTAGGGTTTAGAGTTTATCCAAAAGCGCGCTATGCACGTTTCTTAGGTTCTGCGCGCTACTAGACATGATCGCGTTTCTTAAGAAAGCCGGCAGGATTTGAGATTTTTCTTTCATCATGTTTACATAGAGACAAGACTAAAGACACCCGATTGGGCTCATGAAACCTGACGGGTTACTGGCATGGAAAGAAGCCAAGTTTTTAGGCTTGTTGATGGCGCTTTCGCACGTTTCTTGGAATCCTGTTTCTCAGAAATCTTGGGCCAAAAGAGCGGCCATTCTGGCAAAAGTGAACACACGAACAAATCAGCAATTCCGACCAGTACTTAAAGAAACGCAGTCCTACGAAAGGTGTGCGATGTTGCATTACGTATAGTTTAGGGCTTCGGGTTTGGGGCTTCGGGTTTCGGGCTTACGGCTCGGGCTTAGGATTTAGAGCTTCGGGTTGAGGGCTTAGGGCTTCGGGCTTCGGGTTTAGAGCTTATGCCCAAACCTTGTCACCCTGCAAGCAACAACCATCAACCCTGAGCGCAAACCATGCTCCTCCCAAGCGCAAACCGTGCTCCTCCAATTCACAGGGTTTAGGGTTTAGGGTGTAGGGTGTAGAGTCTAGGGTTTAGAGACTGGGGTTTTAGGGTTCAGGGTTCAGAGTTTAGGGTTAAGAGTTTAGGCCCTAAACCCTAAACCCTAAACCCTAAACCCTAAGCCCCAAACCCGAAACCCTAAACCCTAAACCCTAAACCTAGGGTTTAGAGTTTTACTTAACTTCAGATTTCAGCGGTAGTTTCCCAGGTGCGAACGTGCCAGCAGCCGCAGAACGTGAACCCCCGGCTGAGCATGAAGGCCTTCTCTCTTTTTTCCCTTTCCGTTTTCCTCGGGTTTAGGGTTTTGGCTTTAGGGTCTAGGGTTTAGGGTCGTGAAGGCCTTTCTTGGGAGGGTGTAGGGCGTATTTAGGGGGCATAGAGTGCAGGGATTTAGAGTGTAGGGTTCACGAGTTTGGGGGTTTAGAGTACTTGTCCGGAGCTTGTGGAGTTTGATCGGAGGATTCAAGAGGCCGTGTTGCAGAACAAGTCGAAAAGTCTTCAAACCCCCGGGAGATCAGTCAGAGCTCCGTTTTGGCTTGTTGGAGCTTCAAAGTGGAGCTTCAATCCCCAGTCCGCAACGTAGAGCATGCAGAGCTCATCTGCCTAAGCGCGATGAAGGTGGCTTTGGTGCTTTTGCTCCCCTTGGTGGCTTCGGCCCTTCGTCGCCTAAGGGGTGCCAAGGCGAACAGACCTTCGCTGGAGGAAATCCTAGGTCTGACAGGCCACATTGACCGTGGCCACTGCCAGAACAAGGGTAGGAACTGGACGAAGCACTTCTGCGGCGTGCCAAGCTCGAGCTTGAGCAAGAGCAAGGTGATTGACTTCAGTGATGTCCAGGAGTCTGGCATCTGCAGCCAGTGGAACCAGGACCGCTAACCCTAAACCCTAAACCCTAAACCCTAAACCCTAAACCCTAAACCCTAAACCCTAAACCCTAAACCCTAAACCCTAAACCCTAAACCCTAAACCCTAAACCCTGAACCCTGAACCCTGAACCCTGAACCCTAAACCCTAAACCCTAAACCCTAAACCCTAAACCCTAAACCCTAAGCCCTAAACCCTAAAGCCTAAACCCAGGACCGCTACCTGAATGCCATCTTCAAGGCCATCGGAACCACCAACACCTACTTCGTGGAGTTCGGGAGCCGCCGCCCCGAAGTCCTGAACTCGGCCCACTTCCGCTTGAACTGCGGCTACATCCCCGATGGGAATGATTTTTTCATTTTTTGTATATATAAAACCCAAGAGATTATTCAACATATCATTTTTGTTGGGGATTTGTTTCATTTTTGTTTATATAAAAACCCAAGGGAGTATTAAACATACTTTTGTTAAGGTCCTATATAAGGGGAGTAGAGGTGGCTGGAAGGGCCTGCTGATGGATGGCGCCCCCGGATCCTCGGTCCATGGACCCTGCCCTTCTTGCCCTGGGCAAGACCTGCTCCAGGAACCCGACGATGCCCCGGTGCGCCTACGCCAGGCATCCTTGTAGGGTTTAGGGCTTCGGGCTTAGGGGTTTAGGGTTTAGGGTTTAGGGCTTAGGGCTTAGGGTTTAGGGTTTAGGTTTAGGGCATTCTTGGTAGCCCAGTGGTACCCTTTGCCCTTTTTTTGGGTTCTGGGTTTTTAGGGTTTAGGGTTTAGGGTTAAAAGTAGCCAACCCCAAAAAGGGTGCCCTTGTCGGAATATGGTTACTGGGCTGCCAGGCATTCCTGACGGCGGAGAACATCAACGACAAGTTCCAGATGCACAAGGTGCCGTGTGAGTTCGATCTCCTCACGGTGGACGTGGACTGGAACGATTACTGGCTCGTCAAGGCGCTGGACTTCGGTCGCTTCCGGCCACGCGTGGTGGCCATCGAGTTCAGCAGCTACTTCAGGGGCTCCGAGAAGCAGGTGCGCTCGTACAAGCCCGATGGCGTTTGGGGTGGGGCGGGAGACTTAGCATCTGAGTGAGTACACTTTACACTTTCTGGGATACTCTAACCCCCTATATAACCCCCTATAGAAGTGAAAGTGTACTTTTTTTGGGGCTTATGATAACCCTAAACCCTAAACCATAGACTCTAAACCCTAAACCCTAAACCCTAAACCCTAAACCCTAAACCCTAAACCCTAAACCCTAAACCCTAAACCCTAAACCCTAAACCCTAAACCCTGAACCCTAAACCCTAAACCCTAAACCCTAAACCCTAAACCCTAAACCCCATATGAACTCCAGCAACTAAGGAGAGGTCACCGGTGCCTCCTTGGCCGCGCTGGACGCCCTCATGCAGGCCAAAGGCTACCGGCTGGTCGCTCAGGTGGCCGGCGAGCATGGCATCTTAGTAGCTGAGTGTGGGAGGCCCTTAGGCTTTAGGCTTTAGGGTTTAGGGTTTAGGGTTTAGGGTTTAGGGTAGCTGAGTGAGTGCACTTTACTCTTTTTGGGATATCATAATCCCCTATAGAACTGAAAGTGTACACTTCTTTGGGGCCGATGAACCCAGCAACTAAGGCATTTGGGTTTCGGCCAAGGAGATGAATCCCGACGACCACGCAATGAAGCTTGACCCAGCAGTACCCTTTACCCTTTTTTGGGTTCTGGGTTCCCTTGTAAACACGCCAACCACAAAAGGGTGCCCTTATTGTAAGATGGTCACTGGGCTACCAAGGAAGATTCCAACCCTAAACCCTAAACCCTAAACTTTCCTAAGCCCTAAACCCTAAACCCTAAACCCTAAACCCTAAACCCTAAACCCTAAACCCTAAACCCTAAACCCTAAACCCTAAACCCTAAACCCTGAACCCTGAACCCTGAACCCTGAACCCTGAACCCTGAACCCTGAACCCTAAACCCTAAACCCTAAGCCCTAAACCCTAAACTCTAAGCCCTAAACCCTAAACCCTAAACCCTTACCAAGGAAGATTCCCGAGGAGATCTCCGAGGGATGGATGTTTGCCCTGCGACGGGACGGTTTTCCTGCACCAGGATTCGAGCAGGTGACATGGCTTTTTTTTTGCTGGCTGGCTCTGAGGACTTTAACCTTTTTTTGGTTTAGGGTTTAGGGTTTAGGGTTTAGGGTTTAGGGTTTAGGGTTTAGGGTTTAGGGTTTAGGGTTTAGGGTTTAGGGTTTAGGGTTTAGGGTGCAATAAGGAGCCTAAAAGTTAAGCTTTCAGGAGTGGTTCAGAAGTCAGCCAAGGTTCTCGATCCTTGTGAGGACTTCGGCTGCCAAGAGAAAGCCAGCTCATGCGACAAGGGTGGCGGCTCTGCTCTGAAAAAAAAGGGGGTCGGAAGAATGACTAATCATAATTTCTGGTGGTCCCTTATCAGTATACTTTCATAATCCCCCAAACCCAATTCTAAATCATTATTAAAGCCCGTAGTGTAGCTGCAAGCAGAGGAAATGATGATTCCCACCTCGCCGAAGCAAACCAGGGCGATGAGAATTCCGACGAAGGCGATGGTGATCCCACCCGCGTGGACTCTTCTCGGTATGCTGAAAACGAATTCGTCTTAGGACGATGATGATGCGGAACTTGAGCCATCTGCCTGACCACTCGAAAAAGCACCTTTCACATGAGGTTCTGCTTGGAGCTTGTTGGTTTAGGACCTTGGGTTTATGGGTATCAATAAGTACTTGGAGGTTCATGGTACTCATTAACCAATTACAACTGTACTTGTAGCTGTACTTATAGCCATATTAAGGCACTTGTGGGGCTTATAAGTACAGTTATAAGTACAGTTCTAATTGGTTCCATGAACCTCCAAGTAGGGATGCAAGTAACACAAGGCTACAACTAGAGATAACAGCCAACTTTCCACCTGAATCCAAAGTCCTATCCGGAAGCGTTCGCGGCCGCCGCAACTGCAGATGCACTAGACCCTAGACCCGAAACCCTAAACCCTAAACCCTAAACCCTAAACCCTAAACCCTTCACCCTTAACCCAAAACCCTATCGCCCACGAGTCTTGGGGGGGGCGTAAGGAGGGAAAAAAGGCTTCCGAAACCCATCCAACACGCTGCCAAGGTCGGCGGAAACTACTGATATCCCGAATAATCCCAGCTACCCAAACACCCCTAAAAATCCTGCTAGCCATAAGAAGCCTAAGCCTAGTTCTAACAACCCCAATAGCGCTACTAACCCTAACGACCCTAAACCCCACCAGTTTAAAGCCTAAACCTTAAACCAACCCTTCTTGTCCTCGTGTCAGGCGCGGGTGTGCGTCAACGGCTCGGCGATGACTGGGGAGGAGCAGCGAAAGCTGAAGGTGCAGCCCCCCCACCCCCGCCGGCATGGGCTTAGGGTGTTTCGGGTTTAGGGAATAAGGGGGTGTGGGGTTTCTGGGTGCAGGGTTTATGATGGAAGGTTGTGGGACTGAGGCTTCTTGAATGAGGGTTTAGGGGGTTTGGGGTGCAGGGTTTCGTGTCCCTAAGCCTAAGAGCCCTACGCCCTAAACAGCCTGAACCCGAAGACCCTGATTTCTATAAGCTCTAATCATAGAGCAGCCTCAAAACCCCCCCGAAACCTCAACTACAGCAACCCTAAACCCTAAACCCGAAACCCGAAACCCGAGCCCTAAAGTCCTGGATCCTCCAGACAAGGAGCTACAAGGGGCCAAATCTGCGGGCTTAGGGTTTAGGGTTTAGGGTTTAGGGTTTGGGGTTTTGGGTCTAGGGTTTAGGGTTTAGGGTTTAGGGTTTGGAGGTTCATGGTACTTCTTAACCAATAATAATGGTGCTTATAACAATATATAAGGAAACTTAAGGGGCTTATAAGTGGGTTTTCAGTACAGTTACAAGTGGTTAATCAGTACCATGAACCTCCAAGTGAGGGTATGTTTTGGGTTTAGGGTTCAGGGGCTTTTAGGGTTCAGGATTAAAGCTCCAACGCCCTTAAAACCCTGAAGCCTAAAGCCTAACCTTGGGTAGGCCAGGACCCGAATAAGTCGTAGGGTTTAGGGGTTTCGGGGCTGATTCCCTTATTTGGGGTCAGGATCCTTTAAACAAAAGGCTTCTCACAAGCTTCTCATACTTGGAAGCCCTTTAACTTAGTAAGTAGGGTCAGGAAGGTGAGGTATGGGGATTTTAAAAGCTACATAGACTTATGAAGTCAAAAGAGCCTCCAAGTAGGCTATGGGGGAAACTCGTCCCAGGGGTTTGAAAATTCAAATTTCAGGTTTCTCGGCGACTGGGCTCGATCCTGGTTGAGGGTTTCGGGATTTTGGGTTTAGGGTTTCGGGATTTTGGGTTTAGGGTTTAGGGTTTAGGGATTTGGGGATTTAGGGCTTAGGGGTTTTGGATGGGTTTAGGGACTTGGGGTTCAGGGTTTGGGGTTTTGGGTTTTGAGTTTGGGGATTTTAGGGATTTTAGGGATTTTGGGTTTAGGATTTAGGGATTTAGGGTTTAGAGTTTAGGGAAGGACTTCACAAGGCCCTCCCCCGCCCCCCCTCCGAAGAGGGAACCCTCCAACCCTAAACCCTTAAGAGCCGTGAAGCCTCTAAGCCCTAAGCCCTAAGCCCTAAACCCTAAACCCTAAACCCTAAACCCTAAACCCATGAAGCCTCTAAGCCCTGAGCCCTATCTGCGAGAACTGCCCAAGACCTGGGGGGAGTTGGTCTGCGCGCTCCTGGCTCAACAGACCGCTCCGCCAACGCGCAGAGAGCCGAGGGGTGTTGAGTTGATTTACTTGTTCAGGGTTTAGGGTTTAGGGTTCAGGGTTTAGGGTTTAGGGTTTAGGGTTTAGGCCTCCGGGTTTAGGGTTGAGGGTGTAGTTGTTGTTGATTTGTCTGGGTAGGCCCCCCAGATATTTCATATTTTCCTTATTGTGTTTTAGATCATTTTGAGAGGCTTCACGGGGCCAATCTAGTTACTTGTTGTGCTTGATTTTGGGAGGGGGGCTAAACCTTAAGCCCTAAGATTGAACCCCCCAAAGGCCCCTCAACCCTGAGCAGCCCGAAATCCAGAATGTCTCAACCCTGAACACACTTTGCCGGCCCCCAAACCCCAAGCCCTAAGCCCTAAGCCCCAAGCCCTAAACCCTAACCCTAAACCCTAAACCCTAAACCCTAAACCCTAAATCCTAAACCCTAAACCCTAAACCCTAAACCCTGTATACATAAATTGCAATCTCCCGAACTCCTCAACCTGGTCCTGGCTCCTTCGCTACGCCGGCCGTGGCTTTTTGCGAAAGGCCCTGGGATGAGGGTTTAGGGTTTAGGGTTTAGGGTTTAGGCTTAAGGTTTAGGCTTTCGCGTTCAGGGCTTAGGGTTCACGGCGTGGGCTTCAAGGGGTTTAGGATTCAGCGGGTTTGGGGTTTAGGGCTTAGGCTTTAGGGTTTAAGGTTTCGGGCCTAGAAGTTAGGGTTTCGGGTTCAGGGTTAGGGATTCAGGGGGTTTAAGGTTATGTGCCGAGGGCTTTCTATGAATAAGTGTCTATATATATATATAAACAGAAAAAATATATATATATATATATGTGTGTAAATGGATTTATGTCTATATATATATATAGATGTTTCACAATACAAGAGTGCCTTGTAGTAGAAACCCCGACAAGGGTACCCCTTTTGGGAGACTTGCCGGCAGCTTTGGTATACTCGAGACCCGAGGGTTTAGGCTTTAGGGTTTAGGGCTGAGGGGATATTTGCATTGCATGTCAGTGTGTGGGGGCTTGTTTTGGACACAGGGGGCTGCATGCTCGCATGTCGTGACGAAGTCATAAAGTTGGGGTGGGCACGCCACTCGGAGAGTTTTAGGATTGGGTGTTAGGGTTCAGGGTTTAGGGCGTAGGGTTCATGTCGCAAGAACGTTTTTTTTAGGCGTCGCTTGAGGGTGCGAGTCGTAGTGAAAAATGTGTTTGCCCATGTTCCTGGCTGTTCACTCTGAACCCCTGCCTCTCTCAAGTAGTTCAGGCTTTCCCGCGCCTCACGCCCGCTGGACCCAAAAAGCCTCTCAAAAGCCCCAACTTTACACCCCACCCCGAACCCTCAACCTCAGCCCGAAAGCCTTATACACTCCTAGATCCTGCACACCTGCGCACTAGCTGAGCCGAATGTGCCACCGGGCGGCCACAGAACACCCTAGCAAACAACTTGATTCTTACCCTAAGTCCTAGACCCTAGACCCTATACCCTCTCCGGTTCCAAGGCGGTAGGCTTCAGCCTACAATTCCCCCGAATGCATCCGAAAGCTACCCTTTGTCCCCTTAGACAGCTGAGCCATGAAGCCTATAGCCAGAGCCCTAGATCTTAAAAACAAATCGACCCCTAAACCGCGCTAGACCCCAGACCTCAAGCCCTAAACCCTGAACCCTAAACCCTAAACCCTAAACCCCAAACCCCAAACCCCAAACCCTAAACCCCTGAGCCCTAGAACTTGTCCCCTCCCTGATGGGGCTGACTGGGCCGGCGGCCCAAATGGCCTCGAACAAGGCGCCTGTTGGTCAAGAAGGGTCCAGGTCTTTAGGGTTTAGGGTTTAGGGTTTAGGGTTTAGGGTTTAGGGTTTAGGGTTTAGGGTTTAGGGTTTAGGGTTTAGGGTTTAGGGTTTAGGGTTTAGGGTTTAGGGATCAGGGTTTGGGGCTTTAGTTGGGGTGGAGGGTTTAGGGTTGCAGGGTTGTATGTACTTCGAGTCTATGGCTTCAGGCTTGCAGGGTCCTTTGCGGGCTCGGCTCTGGATGAAGGATTGAAGCTTTTCAGTCGAGGAGGGACCTTATGGAACCCTTTTTGCGACCCTAAACTTGGGTTTAGGGTTTAGGGTTTAGGGTTCAGGGTTTAGGGTTTAGGGTTTAGGGTTTAGGGTTTAGGGTTTAGGGTTTAGGGTTTAGGGTTTAGGGTTTAGGGTTTAGGGTTTAGGGTTTAGGGTTCAGGGTTCAGGGTTTAGGGTTTAGGGTTTAGGGTTTTGGAAACTAGTAAAAAACCCCAAGCCCGAACAACCCTGAACCCGAAGCCATGTCTATTGTAAACTCTGCACCCTAAACCCAAGACCCTAAGCCCTAAACCCGTAAACTCTCAACGCTATAAACCCTAGACCCCTACGCCCCTAGACCCTAAACCCCTATACCCTAAACCCCTATACCCTAAACCCTAAACCCTAAACCCTGAACCCTGAACCCTAAACCCTAGACCCTAAACCCTAAACACTAAACACTAAACCCTAAACCCTAAACCCTAAACCCTAAACCCAACCCGGCCCCCCCCCCCCCCCCCCCAAAAAAAAAAAAAAAAAAACGCCCTACCATCTTCCTTACGGGGTCTTGGACCTCGTTGAGGCCATGGCGGCTGGCGAGGTTCCCACGCGGGAGGAGCAGGCCGGGGGCTGCTTGCTGGTTTATAGGGTTTAGGGTTTAGGGTTCGGGGTTGGGGGTTGAGGGTTTAGGGTTTAGGGTTTAGGGTTCGGGGTTTAGGGTTTAGGGTTTAGGGTTCAGGGTTTAGGGTTCAGGGTTTAGGGTTTAGGGTTTAGGGTTTCAAGTTTGGGGTTTAGGGTTTAGAGGCTCTCGGGCATGCGGGAGTTCGGGAGTTCAGTTTGT